AACAAAAAAGTAATAATATTAATAATAATAATAATAATAATTATTATTATTATTATTATTATTATTATTATTATTATTATTATTATTACTATTATCATTATTATTATTATTATTATGATTATTAATAAATTTGTAATAATAATAATAATAATAATAATAATTTATATAGCACCAATAAACAATAAATAAATTAGTCTCACAGCACTTTACAGAATACTGGAATACAATTTCTACATAAGCAAACTTAGACTGGTTCTTTAAAAAAAATAATAGTGTAGGTGAATGTACTGTATAAATAAAATATTATTGCTATTATCATTATAGATATCACAATATCAGTATCAAACATATTAACATTATAATTATAAGCATTACAACATATTATCACTACCATATATATTGTTATCATCATAATGACTATCTATTTTCATCATCAATCATTATAGTGTATTACGATGGATTACTTACTGCAATACATTGCTTAATCAACTACATGGCAGTATCATAAGCAATGGATAACTGATGTGATAAAGCCCAGCATTAACCTGCAATAGAGTCTTCTTAACTCAGTCCATCCACCTTTTATATGAAAGAAACAAATAAAATTATAGTTAATATAATTGGTTTGATTGAACAAAGCTTGCCATGCCTATTTTTCCTATCCTTGGCATTGATTACTTCTACTTCTTTACTCAGCCTACTCCTAAAATAACAATTTTAATAATAGTAATAGAAATAATAATAATAGAAATAATAATAATAATAATAATAATAATAAATTTATTATATAATATATATAATAAAATATAATATATAATATATGCCCAAATAATAATAATAATAATAATAATAATAATGATAATAATAATAATAATAATAATAATAATAATAATAATAATAATAATAATAATAATAATAATAATAATATTGTTGTTATAAAATAAATACAGCAAGATCGTATGTAATTAATTACTAATTACCAATTCCAGGTACCAATTAAACTTACAGGGCCTATACCCTGTACGTTCTATGCTGCGTACCTAGGCTAGCGAAACCCATGTCCTGTTGAGATACTGAATTTAGGCCCCAACATTGTCGTCATAAAAAAAAAATCAGCGGGGAAGCTTTGATAATTACAACAGTTATGGCTTTTATGCTTTACATTTAACAGCAAAATTAAATAATAAATGAGCTGCCTACCTTTTTAACCTAAAAATGCCCAAAAACATAGTTTTTTTTTTCAGAAAACTTTGTATTACCCTTTCTCCCGCATCCTTTCAAGCTCCAGTCGATTTTCCGTGATAAACAGGTGCCTGGGTACGTCATCTAATAAATATTCATGATTTTTTTTTTGTCGAAACCTTTAAAAATTAATTTCTATTTGCTGTAGTCCGTAACGTAATTTTACATATTTTTTTTCTGTTATCGCTCAACGTGGTTTACTTCCGTGTGATTGCGCGTTTGTGTACTCAACAGCGCCACGGAATGGAATTGAGTGCGTGCTACTTAATTTATATCTTAGAAACCACAGTTATGTTTCTTTATAATGAACAGTATTCCGCTGATTGGATTTTTTCGGACTTTTAGTATGTTATTATATGTATATTTCAGGAACGGATTCTGTAAAATATTTATGTTAAAATGACTTCTGTGTTCATTATAATTCTGTCTAAAGATTGATTGGTTCGACTATAAAGCTAAGTCAGCGTAAAACTGAAAAATACTCAGGTTTTGGATTGATTTTTCGAATAGTTAACCCTCGTTAACCCTAAAATGACTTAGTTTATTATAATCCTCAATAATTCTTTAATTAATATATGTTAAAATTAGAATTAGCGAATTTTGGCCAATTTATGAAAATTGAAGTTGAAATATACCATACTTTTAAAGGTCATGTAAATTTTCCCTTAAATTCGTAATATTTTTTGGTGGAAAATATTAATATGTTTGATATTTAATGAGAGATAAATGTATCCGCTTCTAAATGGAAACAATTGCGCAGCCATAGTGATTGACTGTATGTAGTGCGCATCGAGAAAATAAGGTGCTCTCCATTTTGCCGTGTTCAATTTTTTGGTAAACTATGCCTGCTGAAAATTTGATGGCGGGGAACACATCGGACTTCAAAGGCATCGCGCAAACGTTCTTCACGCGCTGCAGCAGCTTTGATCTTGGTTCATTTGCATAGCGCTGCGTGCGCGTAGCTTTTTCGAGTGATCTCCTTCTCAATAATCCCTCCATGGTCCAACCAACGATGAAAAAGTTCATAATCATTGCAATGTTCAAGGGCTAAGCGATGCTGATTTTCCAAAAGAATCTTTCTAACCTCTGCTATCGACTCAAACTGTTAAGGATAAGCCAGTTGTTGTACTTGGTTTACCTTTCATTAATAAAGAAAAAGATGAGCTCCATGAAGTTGAACGAATTATCCGTGGGAAATTCGTTAAAAGTAAATTGCATTACCTGATTAAATGGGCAAACTTTTCTAACAAACATAATACATGGGAACCAGAGAGCACCTTTAACGACGTTGCAATTGAGCATTTGAAATCAAATCCTGTTCGAATAATTGGGAAACGTGTGTGATGTTGTACTTACGTCGAACTGCATTGCTTTATTGAATATTAATTAATTAAAATAATGCGCATTATTTTTGTAATTATCATGTCTGCAAAAGGTACCAGAATCGTGTATTATTATGTAATCAATTATGCTTATTTGAATATGCGATTTACGATAACTTTGATTTGATAAAATGAAGAGAATGTAATTAATCAAAGGGTGTTAAAAGATGAGACTTTCCTATCTATATTAATGTTTTAATTAAGTAGAACTTAATTGGTGATAACATGGGATATGGAGTTCCTAATCATGCAACTCCAAGTATAGCCTATGGGGCTTTTTGAGATAACCCTTTTTAGTTGCAACTTGTCGAATTAACAATTGCATTATTTGTTAAGGGTCAGAATTTTAGTTAAGTTTATCGTAGTCAAATGCAGACCTATTCTTTGTATTGTATTTCAGATTTCACTCTTCGTCATTGATTAACTGACAATATGCAATGCAGTGTGTCCGTTTACATAAAAATCCTTTTGTTTTCAATATTTTCAAATTATCTAGCCTGTTTAAATTAGCACTCCAATGAAAATAACCATGTCATTTTCGGGATTTTCGTCCCGGATGCAGACATTGCAAGTTTTTCATTGGGTTCAAATTAGGTGCATAACAATCTTAGCCAGGCCCTACACTAGTTAAAGTATGCAGAGAACCATTCAGTGAATACATGACAAAACGTTTTATTATGCAAACAGCAACCTAAAAAGCTATACTGGAGAATTTCAAACAAACGTTGACTTTTGGCTGGCAAAAGCATATTAAAAACGCGTAACAGTTACATCTTATTTTTTTTATATATAAATTCAAATAAGGATTACTTCATTAAGGGAAAATCTTGCTACAGAAAGCGGAGATTTAATTAGCTTTCATGTGAACTATAGCAGGCAATTTTTGTCTTTTTGTATCTCAAAAAGTCTTACCTTACATCAGTGTTGTTAAATTATATTATATATTTGCGCAAATTTAGTTCTCTATTTTTGTTTTCAAGTAGACATGCTTGACCGCAAAATGTATAGTCTTGCACATAGTAATAGTTAAAACTATGGTGAGCTTTTGTGTACATTCCTAACCTAAATACATTGGTTGCTAAAAAATGATCACAGTCATTTTTAAGTTTGTCGAGGGTCTTATGCTATTTTTTTTTTTTTTTTTTTATAATTCTGAAAGGAATAAACATGGCGTTGCCATGTCACAACTGCTGGGACCGCAACTGTAACTACGCTGGAAAACACTGGAATGCAAATATCTTTATCTTTATCACTATGCTAGTGGACATCAGGCGTGTTGTTTAAATTATTTAAATGCACTAAATCAATATGGCACTATATAATTTTAGAAATTGATGCAATAATGTTAAATATCCTTATGGCCCTCTACTATATTTGACGACCTCAGTTCTGGTACGATTTAGCACTTGAGAACCGCTGATATAGGCCTAGTATAATCAGCCAATATTTAAATATATAATAAGTGTTGAGCATTGTGAACATTTATATAATGCTAGTGCTACATGCATTTCACGTGTTCTGATTCCATGCAAACCTTGAAAGAACTCACATCAATCTTAAGTTTGCTTGCCTGCGAAATGTACCTCTTGTTAGCACTCTAATTCGATTTCCTGAAATGTTCCTAAATTAAATTTTTAAAGGAATAATTGTTTTAGCGTGACAAAGTTGATAAACATAATATAGTGGTGTAACGGAGGGGGTATTCAGGTAATAGGCTAATAGACTCAAAACTAAAAAAAAAAAGATTTGCAGACAGATACGAAAGTAGATTGGAAGTCAAGAATACCAATACGGTAACAGCCCTCACTACAAGTTTCAATGTATTTGCGTGAATTCTTAAGGTGTTTAAACTTGTGAGGGTTCCTGTCCGCTGCCAAGTGCTCGCGCAATTTTATTGAAATTGTAAGGCTCGCTGTTTCCTGGGCTCGCATACAATTTGGCCTTCGGGCCATTACTCGTGACCGCTTTTAATGTGGATGTTGTTAATAAAAGCGAAATGAATGAATAAATGAGTGAATGAATTACAGCCGGCACAAAAAAAATTATAAACAACACGTGAGCAGAGACCGGCATGGACATGATCTTACCCTGAAAGCCTTTTTCATATTTATTTTAAATGAAGAAAAACCAACTTAAATTAAAAATCATTACATAGTTTGCTTGGAAATAAAACGACTTTTTTGCGGGGCAACTTTATAAAAGGGGCCTATATAAGGAAGTTTAAAATAAAAGGTGGTAGGTGTATCTCAAATATGTCTGTGCAAATGTATTTACAGGCGGATCCAGGTGACAAGAAATATAACACCCCACCCCCACTTTCCTTTGACCACGATGTGTCAGAATAATAAATATCAAAATATTTTCTATGCTACTTACATGATTTCAAGTTTAATAAGTTCAGCAAAAGCATCTCTATCGATAAGTCTCAAATTGTTTTGGTTCAAATATCTGTGTGCAAAAGAATAAAGATATAAATTAATAACACGAGGTCTGTATTGTATCGAAACATATGATAGGATCTATTTAGGCTTAATGGCCTTTGACTACCAGAAAAACAGATTTCAAAATTATGACTGTGGATTTTAATCCGTGAATTCAGGCCATGGCCGGTTATTATGCTTTTAAAGATCAGTATATCACATAATAGTGAATTGTCACCCCGTCTATGGATTGAATACGTCGGTGTCAAATACTACTAAAAAAAAACTCACTACGTCCGAATTGGGTTAATAATTGGTAAAACAAAAAAATATTATTACAAAAATGGTATGCGTTGCAGATGAAACAATAGTTGGATATGACTTTTAAGAAGTTTTATATTCTAATATTTTTCCTTGTGTGAAAGATATATATATATGTATATATAAATATATAATATTGTTTAATACTATAACCGGATGATTGGTTTAAATTTGTTAATGTTTACCTTAAGATCTTTGTCCAATGAAAGAAATGCCATACTTTTCAATATAAAAAGTGATCAAGTATATATCTGACTTTCAAATTTATAATTGACAAGCTGTTATGGAGATGTAGTAAAACCTTTCCTTTGGGACACCTCTTTTAAGGGGACACACTAATAACACTTTTTTTGGCAGACAAACAAGAGAAAGTATATCTTTACACACTGCACTACGGCCAACTTGTAATTAGGGGACACAGTTCAATTCTTTTTATTTCATTCCCGAATGTGTTCCTAGGGCTTCTATCGCAAATATTTTGAAGCTGTACTGAATAATTTTAACGAATCTGATATGACAGTATTATGCAATAACGATAGTCTATTACATCTATAGCCTATACATATTTTACGTCTTATATCAACAATTTTAAGATAATTATTTGAATGACTGTAAGTAATAAATCTTACATTACAAACTACAGTACACAAAATTGTCCCTTTACTAGGAGTGTCTAATAAATATGGGTTCGCCGTATGTTAAAATACATAATTTCCCTTTAGGGTGTCCTTAGCCTGCGTTCCAGGCCCCAATTTTCGGTTATTCACACTTTATTGCGCTTAGTGCGTGCATACCTAATTTATTTGGCGTCCCATACTCAATATCCTTTTTTTTTATTTGAATTATTTCGTCTCTAAATTCACTTGCTCGTTAGTGGTGCTGTCCAGATTGAGAAATAAAAAATAATAAAGGACTTGTAGAAAATCTAGGGTGTCCCATTAATGAGGTGCAAATTCAACTGTTAAATGTTTTGCTGAATGACGTGTAATAGTAGAGTACCACAATCGTGTCGTCACAACACAAGGTGGCGCCATCTGGACGTTGGTTGGACTACCGTTCATTACGACTGAATGACTTCATAATCTTAATGGTTTAGAATAGGCTTTCGTGAATAGGCATTTTAAAACCTAATAATTTACCATCAAAATGTACTAAAACACAAAAAACTCGCATTATATTAGTTATCGAACACACATTTAATCATTAATTAACTTTACAAGGAAAATTTAAGAACACCTTTTTAATAATTACGTTAGAAATTGGGATTAGTGGTTTGTCAGTGGAAAAAATGGCGCCGGTTAAACTCATTTTGTGTCGCCAATAGCAACGGAGTTGTATCACGTGGTATCGTGACGTAACAATGTGGTACTATATTGTAAATAATATGATATTTTCTTGTGAATTGTTGCGAGCATGGATTATATTGCAGTATATGCGATTATAAAGAATCGTTTATAACTAGAAACTTACAAGAATTGAAGATTATTCAAACCACTTAAGGCCCTTGCTTTTAGATGTGCTATTTTGTTTCTGCTCAACACCCTTCCAAAATAAAGAAACGACGAACATACAATAATCAAACCGATCAAAATGTTAAGACGGAAAAAACTGACGAAACCAATTAACAGATTATGCTAATTAAAATCATAGTAATGCAATCAGATTTATTAGACCGATAATAATTTTTTTTCTCATCAAATCTCTCAGCAGATAGATCAGATCAGTCTGATCTTTCCGATTTCTAGGTCAAATAAATTTGATATCTCAAATCTCTCACACAGGTCAGATCAATCTGGTCTTTCAGTTCCCTCACATCAATTTGATTTTTTCTATCTCTCAGATAAATCAGATCAATTTGATCTCTCAAAAATTCTAATCTCTCAAGTAGGTCAGATCAATTTGATCTCTCATATTTATCAGACAGTTCAGATCAATTTTATTCCTCAGATCACTCAATTTCATTTATTCGTTTTTAAAACAAATAACAAAAATTAAATTAAATTTAAAAAAAACCTAGGATCTTTCTGATCTCTCAGATTGGTCAGAACAATTTGATCTTCTAAATCTCCCACATAGGCCAGATCAACCTGGAAGACTACCATCAGCATCAGTGACGAGTCTTCCGCTTAAATATGCGCCAGTATTTTAGGTTCCGGCGCCTGTATCTTAACCGATTGACCAATCAAATAAAACATTGTTAGAGAATAATATATGAACAATTAAAGAAGTTTGCAGATCAAAATTTAAAAAAAATCAAACGGACTTATATACTCAATATAGTGTTACCTATAATTTTGGATTGCGTCGCAGTGCATCAGTACTTTCAGACATAGGATATTAGGTTACTTAGTGTATTAAATCCGATGTCCCCGACAATAGCAAAATAGGCGTGGTCGGTCGTCGATCTAAATCTTTCGAATTGGTCCAGGGGGAGAACAATATAAAAATTTGGTGGTCTCGAAATTTAATCGATTTTAGAATCTACAAGTATGTAGAAAACACATATTTTTTTTTCCAGATGAATTGTGATGTTTCTCCCCGACATAGTGGAGTTGGTCTGGCTCCCGCATTTCCCCTGTCTCTTATACACATCTAGATGTGTATAAGAGACAGGTATATATGCTCTATATAAAAACTAAAAAACTACTATTATTATTAATATTATTATTATTATTATTATATTATTATTATCATATTATTATTGTTATTATTAATATTACTATTGGTAACAATATAATTATTATCAGTATAACTACTACTCTATTTACTATTACTACTATAATAGTTTGAGAATGCTTTACATCATTACTTTAAATGCTTGTGGTGTTTTTAAACACATGAAAGCATGAAATCAACCTTAAATAGATTATGCATGCTGCCTAAACACTATTACTTTCCAATAGTTACATACGCTGTTATGAGCAGCGGCAGGTCAGTGATTGTTAAATCAGAGCCCAACACGTTTCTAGTGAGGAAGAAAATATATTAGGCTTAAATATTATAATATATCACTGCATTCGTAATTTAAGACGTTAATCAATGGCTTTTTCAAGCGACATGACATCATTATCCAATGTCGCCCAAGCAATCTATAGCTTAGAACATTAATGTATGCCTCAAACAGCATCATTATGCAATTATCATCATCAATATTATTTTCATCATTGCAATATGTCATCATAACTATCCTCATTTTTGTCGACATCGTCAAAAGTGTCTACTATCAATGTCGTTAACGTTATCATCATCTTCCTATCACTACAATTTATAAGAAACAAATAATGTCATAATCAGTAATTATTATTATATTGTCATCACCTATTATAACCATCAACATTGCTATCATAATCAAGTTTAAATACAATTATCATCATCAATATCCGATTCATTATTCTTTGCTATGTGGTTATCATAACAATCATCAACATCGTCATACTTATCTTCGTCGTGGCAATTGGCCCTTTCTTAAACCAGCTGTGCCAACCCTGGGCCGCCATACCCAAAATGTTGTAGTAGTAGTTTCTTCGGATGCGCTAGAAAACTATGACGAGTATTTCATACATGGACAGAAAGTGTACTGCTCACACACAAACTAATTTTCGAGTCTCAATGAGTGAAGTGATTTTTTTTCTTCGCTATGACAAGGCAAATCCCAAATAATTCATAGGTATAGAAGATATTTAAAACCACAATTTGAGACAATGCATGCCACCAACTTAAATAGTTGACAGGGTTCCTGTCATAGCACACTCGTTCACCACATGTTCATGAGTTTGTACATGTTCACAAAAACAAGGCTTTTTAGTTGTACCCAGGCCTTCCGTTGGAGGTTGTGGCCCGGTGGGTGTGATGACCAGGCCTGAATGTATGGCTACAATTGCTTAGGTACAGTTGGTATTATGCCTCAGTGAGCCTAGCATGGACGGAGCTTTCTTTTTGTAGAGGATGTCGTGAAGAAGGTGGTTTGCTTGACCAGCTTTCTGATATAGCCTTCTACAGATGTTGTCTCGACGGGAATAAGGTGGTTGAATCCCAGAACGGAATGGTAGATGAATGAGTGGTGTAGATCGTAGGCATCCAGAAACTTGTCTCGGGGGGACGTCCAGCCAAAGGGTTTGAATGCTTGTGTCCATGTTGCCGAGCAGTATTCAGCCGATGAGTATGCCAAGGCTATTGCTGAAGTTCTAAGGGTGCAGAAGGATGTACCCCAGTTTGTACTGACCAGGAGCCTAACAAGAGCAACTCTAGCGGAGACTTTGATTTTCAGCTTCATCAGATGACTTTTGAACGTGAGGCTGCGATCTAGTGTTATAATATAACATTACTTAGGGCCTAGCCTAGGCATCTTTTAATTGTAAAAGGGCCTATGACCACAAGAGTTGCTATGCTTGCCTAAGCCTTATTTATATAATTTTAAGTTTTAGTACCACCAGGCGGGACGCTGGCCGCCAAAAGATCTGATAAAGTTTTATACGGTCTAGCTAGGCCTAGCCAATTACTAGGCTATGTCTCTATTTGTACTAGCTAAGTATATAGGTTAGGCCCTAGTAAGAGCTGGATGGTTCCTGTAGTACTAGCTTGAGTAGGCCCACTATATAACTATTAGTATTAGTGGTCCTATAGTCGTGCATTGTCATAGTTTTCTAAAGTTTTTCATTATTTCTTTTAAACTTTGTTTTTCCTGTTGTAAAATATCCCGATAATATAGGTTTTCGCATTTATAAAAGTTTGTGAAAACCGAAAACCCCTCGCAAGGATGATTACTTTCCTTTTTCAACTCGATCGCGTTTACGCAGAGGCCAATTCTAGCACATGCGCAGAAACTACATAGTTTTGGGCTTGGCGGCTCAGGGTTGGCACGGCGGGTTTGCAAAAAGGTCACATGCTTCGCCGTATTCATTATAAATATATTATTCACTCCAATTGTTACCACCATCATTAAATATAACAGTATTTTCTTTAGTAGTGACATACGTTCGAGGCAAGAAACCATATAACTGCAAATCCACTAGTCTTGTAGAGTCAGAAAGTTTTCTATTCAAGAAGATAATTTATGTAAAACATCAAATAAATATCCACGTCAAAATGAAAGTACTTATGAAGCAGAAGTAAACCAAATCATTATATAATAAAAAAATCCGGGCCGTTTAAGATAAGTTTTAACATTAAAATCCTAAGATTTGAACATCAGGATTCAATAATGGTGGTTATCCAGGTGTGGCGCCAGGATTTCTTTGACGAGGTGTGCCGATGTCCCCGACAATAGCAAAATAGGCGTGGTCGGTCGTCGATCTAAATCTTTCGAATTGGTCCAGGGGGAGAACAATATAAAAATTTGGTGGTCTCGAAATTTAATCGATTTTAGAATCTACAAGTATGTAGAAAACACATATTTTTTTTTCCAGATGAATTGTGATGTTTCTCCCCGACATAGTGGAGTTGGTCTGGCTCCCGCATTTCCCGGCCCCCTACTGGCCCTACCCCTGTAGTTATCATGATATTTATTCAAATATTTTTAAGCGATTATTGATGGGGGCTTGTTAGAGTTCATGTTGGGCAATAATTTACTTGGAAGCATGGTGTGCCTATACAAATTTTTTCATGTAAGTCACATTACATTTGAAGATACGTATAAACAAGTACGTGTTCACATGAGGCATACAAAAGAAACGTATTTGTTTTCAAGCCAGAAGAACAGTCGTTTGGAGAGTAGGGTGGTAAACTCAAATATTATCTAGATAAGTGGGTTGAGTTAGCTTAAAAATTAAAATTAGTTAGCTTAAAAAAAACCAAAGAACTTAATAGATGAAATATGGTAAATTAAATACGTACAAAAAAATGCCAGTACCTCTCACTCAATAATCGAAGGAAAAGAGCATATTGACTGCTCAGAGTTAATGGAATTTGCTGACAATTAGCGACTTGAATCAAAAATTGTTATTACTTTCCAAAACAACCATAAAATGCAGACATTTAGAATTTTGGTTTTCTCGACAACATAGTTAGACAGATAGAGTACTAAAGTAGCAAAACAATTGTTGGAAACTCTTCAAAAACAAAATCTAAAAGATTTAGACCATGGAAAAATATATATGAGCTTCTACCAAAAAGTCACGTTATATATAACAAGAGGGGTGAATGTATAGCCCTCCTAAATCTATAAAATATTTCTAAGGATAGGATATCATTGCATAGTACCATTAAATGTGTGTGATAGATTATAGAAGGTCAAATGTCATTACAAATAACATGCCTATGATTTAAAATAGCAATGTATCATGTAAATTCGCCTCGAAGTCATTTTTGTTTCTAAATAATATGTTATGGATTATGGAATAAATAGAGACAACTTCAAATGACGTACAAGATGACCGACATACGTTTTGTGTATCCTTATCTCAGTTATTACTGGCCTTGGGAATATATTCAGTGGTTAATTTCTCATTTCCCTGATTTTTTTTATTTTTTTTTTATTTTAACAACATGTAGAGGGTAACTCTTCCTTACGATGTGTAAGTGTGGCGTTCCATGTACTCTCGCACACTCGGGGGACTAGCCCACAATAAATAGACAACTTGCCCTTCATTTCCAATCATACTCCTGGTTTACTGAGCGTCGTTCATGCATACTCGTCATCTTTCTTTCCTTCGAACTCTCCAACTCGAGAGGGCGCTACCCATACAATTAAACAGTGCAGAGCACATTACCCCCGGCCCTCCAAGGCGAGTTCCACCGAGCCGAAAGATAGTTACCAGAAGTTTGCTTGTCTAAGTGCTAATAAATATCAAACTTGTAACCCACACTTTGAGAACAAATTAAAAGAAAACTTAGTGCGTGAATGTCTAATTCCATATAGGTATGCCATAAACTGATCAGAAGTGGTGTATGTGACTACACGAACTAAAAACCTCCGTGGGGGTGCATGCACATGCGCCTATGCAGACACCACTCTCCACCTGAAAGGCAGTCTGTGCAGGGGACACATTGTCATCATGGGGTAGCTAATCCACACAACCATGCACCCAACTACACAAACAATAGAAATATTGTGAGCTTGCTATATTTGATCACTAGGTATTATTTGAGAAGCTACATCTAATTTAAACACTAAATAGGTAATATACTTGATGTAACATATGTACAAACAAGAGTACAACAATTTTAAAGTACTAGGCAGGTTTACCATCTAGTACTTAATACAAATACAGATACCCTTTTGTATAACATGAACAAGAAATTGCTTATCCATGTGGTTAGTTAAATAGTAACATCATACAAAGATCTAATCACTGTGTACCATATTTGCATGCATACATAGGCTACATACAGTGAGAAGTTTAAACTGTTCTAGAATATTTTTTTTTCAGTGAACAATATTATGTAGAAACAGACATGTTAGCATACGATGTATGACTAAACTTTATACATTTAATAGGCTTACACACTTCAGAACTTTTTCCAATATCAAAACAACAGCTGCATTTGTTTGACAATTCTATAATCCAGAATTTCATTTTAAACTCCAACCCATAATGTATATTATGTAGAAGTAGTTGGCGCATCGGTTGTGGCTTGGAATCCCAACCTCGAGGTCGGGGGTTCGAAACTGTGCAAATCGGAGCTTGAGAGAATTTAAGTCCCTTGGCTATCTTATGATAGCTTTATTGACACTCAAAAAATCATTACCCAAAATAAATGATGGGGTAATATGGGGTGCCAAATACATTTTACAGTTTGCATTTTTACCATTGATTTTAACTATCATGAATATCATACCAGTTATTTCTGTATGCTCATTTGTTGCTGTACACATGTATCCTCTGTCTAATGCAAGAACTGTTAATTTCTGGAGGTCTGAATACTTGTTAATCATAGCAGGATTCATTACACTAATATCTGCTCCAGAATCGACTAAAGCAAACACATGTGTATTACCAATGTGCATCTTTGTATAATTGCCAAGCAAATTTTCAAACAACACACTATTTGATACAACATTGCATGTATTGGTACCTATACATGTAGAGTTCAATTTGTCTAGATTACATGTGACACAATTGTTTTGTTTAAAATCTTTCCAGTCCATGCTGTTGTTATTATTTGTAACCGTGATAGGCCCAACCCCGGTTTCCATATGGGTCTGTAGCATACTATCTAAGGTTAGTGGGTTGGGCCCCTTGCATGTCCCTGATAGGGCTCAGTTTTGCGACGCTGAGGTGGACGTCGTGACGTCGTAGTTCGAGCTAAAACTTTAAAATTACGTCATTTCGTATTCTTAAAACGAACTTACTAGCACTACGACTAAATGACGTGAACCTCGACTAAAATGACACCTCCGCATGCCGATTTTTTTTAGTCAGCCTAGGGTCAGGCTAAATCGCCGACTTGAAATATTTACCTCAAAAAAACGTGTTTTTTGTAACTCACGATAAAGTGAAACGAATAAAAACGATTTTATACGCAGGTTTGATATGTCTTCGGTGTGTTAAACAAAAGAGACATAAAGTTTAGCTTCCAAAAGGAGAAATTAACATGTTTCACTAGCCGCATGCGATAGTTCCTGATTTGCACGTAATCCCCTCGCGTTGCAATCACCTAGCTTCACCATAACAACAACAAAGATGGCGCCGCCCTCGCTCTGGCTCAACTATAATAGTTTTCCAAAGAAAGTGTCTGTTCAAATTCTCTATTGTAATATGTTAAAAGCTAATATATTTATTATTATAGACAATTAATTAAGGGAATGATGGTCTATTATGAATCATGAGGAAATACGTTCTTGAACCACAGACGGCAGCTTAATATTCATCCGCGTTACCGGATCTCTAAAATTTCGTCTGCTATTAAAGTTAGCCCTTTTAATTCATTGGTTAGTTTGATAGTCGTGGCTTGCCAGTCGTCTTCAGTTGAACTAAAACTAGAACTTGATTTAGTAGTAGTTAAAACTTCGACTACAATGTTTGTGAATACAAATTGAAGTTAAAGATGCAACTAGAACTAAATGAAGTTCTAGTTCGAAGTTCGACTAAAGTTTATTTTAAGAATACGGGCGATAGACTGATAACACTGCCTGGACAACTGGTGACATTCCCGTTTATAGTGGCCATACTCACCACAGTTTTTGTAACACTGGACCTCCCGTCTATCCTGACGTGCCGATGCATAACGCCGATGCTGTTGATTTTATTGAGGAAATTGTAGAGATTGTGTATAAGAGACAGGACAAATGTTGGGTGAGCGCCACAAAGTTGACAAGCATATGGAATTGCTTCAAAGCGAACATTATGCCGAGGGACATTGGGGCATGTTAACGCTTCATGTCCAGATTGTTAACATAGTTGACACAGACGCTCAGTTGTAACCTTCCGTACTGCATGGGTAGATGCGTCAGTCTCTGCTAAATTTAATGAGCTCAAGGCTTTAGCGAGGTGTTTTGTTAGTAAGACAATATTAGCAGTACTTTCACGAGTATCCTTAGGCTGGTCGACTGTACACGGGCGTGTTCCTGCCACGTCACCTAAATCAACATCCTGAGCTGCCTCTTCAGCTAATGCTACTTTTATTGCATCTTCCAAAGTAGTAGGCTGCGAACGGTTTTTGAAAATCCATTCGCAGGTCTTGAATAAAGTGATGCATGATTTGATTAGCAGGGATAGCTAATTGATAACAAAGATTGTTGATACCCTCAGCGTACTCTATTACCGACTGTGTGGGCTCTCGTAATTTTAAAGGCCAAATGCTGCCTCAAGTGAAATATTTGGGACGGTTTCAGCTTATATTTATTAACGAATTTTACATTTAGCATGTCAAACGTATTGAATTCTTCCAACTTGAACGTACCTAATCATTGTGCCGCACCATCTTGCAAAAGTTCTTTCAAATTCGAAAGCAGCATAACGTTCAAAGCTATCCAGCCACATCCTCCGACGTTCTGGCAGTGAATATGCTAGGTCAAAAGTGAGAGTTTGCCATCACTAATAACACCAGGTTTTCCACCATGTGGCGTTCCATGTACTCTCGCACACTTGGGGGAGTAGCCCAAAATAAGAGACAACTTGCCCTTCATTTCTAATTATACTCCTGGTTTATTGAGTTAATACTACAATATAAACACTTGAAGGAGCGTTCATGCATAATCGTCCATCTTCCTTCCCTTCAAACTCTAACAAATTTGGGGGGGGGGGGCGCGCTACCCATACAAATAAACAGTGCATAGCACGGATGTATCGTCACATAAGTACCAAATCTATTATTTACAGCCCTCTTTAGTTTGTAATGTTAAGTTAGTAAACTATGATTCCAGGTGAATCATATGCAAACTTTCTCATCTGTTTAGTTTTCTCCTTGTTGGCTGATATTATGGCTTACTTAAAATGGTCTAGCCAGGGCATTTTATTTTGTAGCTGCCTTAGAATGAAAGGATTTATATTCGGTAAGTTTATTTTATTTGTATTAGGCTTATTAGTTTCATAAAGTACAGAAATTCACTTATGTTTATAAAAGTGTATTACTTTGATAAATATCATTTTTATTTCAATCAATCGGACGGTCATGACTTATACTGACTCAGGTTACGATTACAGTTACACCAATGATGATTGAAGAATTATATCAAATAAAATTTTCATTCAAAAATTGTAGAAATTGTACAATCTCTGTTTAAGTCCTGCATAACATCGTGTGAATTCGGCGTAGGCATTTTTATGTTACATTTCGGTACTTCGTGTTTTTTTTTTGTTTCAATTTCTTTTGTTGGAACCGTACTTCTACCGCAACTGCCTTTGGACATACATACCGTCATCATCGTTATATTCTACTTAAGAGCGATACTCGTGGAGTTCACTCTGACTGTTTACGTCGTACTGTAGAAATGGCGGACAACGAACGGATAAGAAATCTGCAGATGCAGATGGAGGATAGAAAAGAATATATAGGAATACTTGAAAAAAGCTTGGCCGTGGCTTTGAAGAAGAATGACGAATTCCTTGAAAAAATGCTGTCGATACTCGAAGAAGAGTGAAGAACTTTCATCGCATCTGTCAAATATTTCATGGAGTTTTTCTGTTGCGTTTCCTATACTTATTAACAGAGATCACATTAGTTTGCGGTCTACCGACGCGGGCTACAACCGTTTGCCGGGTGTAAAAACCATTGCAGTAAAAGTAGGAGAATTTTCCGAAAGTATATAAGATGTGTCATAGCATACTCCATTGAGATTTATTTATCTTATTTTTTTAATGGAATTACTGCAACATGAAAATTTAAATACGGCGATTGACATTATGAACAGAGAGCTCGCCCGCTTATTAAATAAATTGTTCACAGCTAACAAATTGACTGTTAATAGGCTAAGCACAAAATCCATAATTTTCAGAGGTAAAAATAATCCAATCAACATTGGTGACAATGGCTTAATTTTGAAGAATAATACGCCAGAAAGTGTACATCATGTAACAATTTTAGCAATTGAACTTGATATATTCCTAACATTCACACACTACGTAATTATTATATTACTAAAAAAATTCTCTATTATGATTGGTTCTCTAAAGACTCAAGATTATTTTTACCGTAAACAATTTTGTATACATTTTATTAATACCCTCAGTTATATTATACAGTATTGTATATCCATATGGGGAACCACTGACTTTAACAAAATGAACCGTATTCATATTTTACAAACAAAAAAGCCATTATCAGCATCCATTTATGCCGCTTTTCTTTAGAGTAAATTCTCTTTACGGTATATATTTATAAGCAGAATATATCAACATTTATATGTTGTTTAAAATTATAAATGCTATAGAGGACAAGTGCCAATGTCTCTTGGTAGCTTTTTTCTGACTTATGACTGTGTACCA